TTATAAAATAAATAAATACAAAATATATGTATATGCATAAATAATGAAAAACATATGTATATTAAATATATAAAATGTATATATATAAAATATATGCAAGTGAAATACTTGAAATTTATATAACTAAAAAAAAAATGTCATGCATATGTTCAATTCGGTTGAATAAAGAAAACCTTTAAGAACAATTTAAGTACGCCTTTAAGATTTTTGTCTGCATATGCTTCAGTTAACCTTTCATAGAAATTTTCTTTCGCTTGCTGCCATGGAATTTCCACTACCGAATGTCAAATTCCAACTGATTGCCAAAATGGGCAAATGCCTTGTGAGTGCGAGGCTTATTTAAGTCAGAGTCACGGGGCAGACGTTGGCCTTCAACTCACTTGTCTGAGTTCAAAGAAAATATCCAAAAAAAAAAAAAAAAAAAAAAAAAAAAAAAAAAAAAAAAAAAAATGTGCGTGGGCTTTGGGTAGAAACTAAAAATAATCTAAGCTACGCCCCAATGCTATGCCAATGTTTAATAACAATCAAGTGTGCTGCGCGCTGTCGAAAGTTGTTTAAAGTCAAAATCACGTATACGCACTGTCTGCCATCGATTTAGTTGACCCATATGGCGCTGTGGAACTTTCGATGCATACAAATGTTGTTGAAGCGAGCGAATGAAGGAAGTGTACGAACTTCAGCCAGTTGGCAACTAGGCAACTAGAAATCGAGTTGTTACAACATGCCAGATGCATAACTTACGCTTCACTGGTGGTGTCTCCACTTTGGCAGCAGCAGGAGGTGCAGGAGGAGGCGCAGCAGACAATTCGTGCATCTCTCTCCTGAATTCCAAGTCGTCGAGAGTTGCCTCTAAATTTGTTGTTGGCTGCGGATTGGAAATGTCAGCGACAGGCGTTGAAGGCACTGAACTTAACTCAACTGTTGGCAAGAGAGCTGCCGCACTGGACTCCTCCGAGATGCTCCTGGAAGAGGAGATGGCAAAGCATAAAGTTAAAGCCAAATACAGTTGCTACATTCAGTACGGCCATGCAAATTATTTACCTAATCGAGTTGGCCGCGCTCAGCGGGCGATGATGATGCTTTGGCTTATTGGAGCGCCGCATGGACATGCGTCGCAGGAACTGCTGAAAGCTGCCGCGACTCGGTGCCACCGCCGCCTCCGTACCAGGCAACGTAGCTGCCGCCTCCATCGCCGGCGGCGAGGAGACATTGCGCGTCACCGGCGCATGATGCGTTTGCTGTGCTGGCTGCCAGGATTGGGCGCGTGGAGAGAGCTCTGCTACGAGTGGCGGGGTCGTGACTCCATCTGCAATCGAGTCGCCCCCATCGAGACTGCTCTCCGCATAGCTGCTGCAGCTGGCCGTCATCAGACTGCGACGCAGCAGATCTCCACTGTTCGTGCTCGAGGTTGACGTGACCGTCGCCGAGCTGAGGCCACTGAGTCGATGCCACGAGTTCCTCGAGCGTGCGCTGCTGCCACGGCGCTGCAGCGTGGAGCGTCGACGTGGTCGCATTATGACATCATCCGCCTGGCACTCGTCTATGGGCAGCGGCACATCGTAGATCAAGTGCCGAGAGCCATAGACGCTCGCCCGCTTGCGCTGCAGTGGAAAGCTGCCGGCCGACTGCAAGCCACAGCTGATGCCGCTGGCCAGGGAGAGTGACTGAGCAGAGGACAGAAAAGGAGACAGAAAAAGGAGTAGGTAAAAACATGTAATTAGATTTAGCCAGACTATGAAAAAAAGTTCATCTTGATTTGCCACATCCTCTAAACCTAATATTAAATTTTAAATTTTTATTTAATTTTTAAAATTTTGAATATATAATAACAAGTATTTATTAGCTGAAATTATCTTCCGTCAATCAATACAATTTAATTTAATTTTTCCTAACATTAATTTTTACACCGAGAATACCTGCCTATGAAATACCCTTTACGCCGAGATATGCTTCACTGTCTGCAATGTTTATTAAATAACTTTTTATTTCATATGAACTTCTTAAATTAAATTATCTGCAGTTCATCATACCTAGTCTCCACTAATGAAAAAACGTCTATTGTAAACATATTTAGTGTGCAAACCACATTTAAGAAATCGAATAAAAATAACGATTATTACCGATACTACGGAAATGGACTAGAATGACTATCTGTAGAATAAGGTATATGTAATGCTCACATTAAATTGCAATATATTTGTATATTTCAATTCTCTTTAACATTACAAATTTAATTTTTAATAATTTTAATTCTTCTTAATTTTTTATTATTTTAAATATTATTATTTTTTTTTAATTATC